TGGATTTTGCATTCAATTCTGCAAAAGACCTTCTTCTCAAGAACGAGATGAGGGATAAACTGGCGGCTTTCAGCCCCTTTTGAAGAATGCTTCACTCTCATCGCCTGGTTAATTTGAGCAGAATGCAGCTGCAAACTGATTGGGAATCAATTATGGAACTTTGGACAGCTTTTGACACTTTTGACACACAGAAGAGGCGATTGCTGAAGAACCAATAGAAGCATCAAATCGCAACTTCCAGCAGCTTCTAAAGGAAGCCTCATCTTAAATATCTAGTGAATTTGCGCGCAAATCAGTGAACAGTTTTTTCAGTTAGCGCGGATTTTGCACTGTAATCACACACAAATCGCCCTTCTTGAATGTGATGGAGTTGGTCAAAGACACAGTGTGCAGCTGAAGACTGTGAATTTGGTGGAAAATTCGGCAATTTGGGTGAGTTTGGTGTTTGGTGAGCCATCGGCAGCAGGCTGATTTATGGGAAAACGCAGGCAAAAAAGCGGGCAGCCGATTTTTACAACATCGATCGCATCGCCAAAAGCCAATTAAAAACGCCCACTTGACTCGGGCGGGTGCGTTAATTAAACGAAAAGCACACTCGAGAATCTACCCAGAGCTTCCGACACAGTTATTCGGGTCCGGGGAGCATTCCAAATTGAAGTTCGGTGTAAGCAGTGGCTGGGCTGTCGTGTTCATCGGGTTCCCGCTGAATAAAAATTACTAAATTAGGCCTCTCATTAAAAGATACAACATGCGATTGCGTAGGCATGAAGAGTACCCCCCGATTGCTCTTCCAACAGTCCCAAGATTTATCGCTGGTTGCCCATTGATTTATGCGAGCCGAACTGGGTATTTTTTAGTGAAGRAAATCGGCAACAGTTCGGGCTTGGTCTTGCWGTTCCRAAATCAGCAACACAATTGAACAAGGCAAATTGAACCGGTTTCGAACGATTCACTTTAAGCGAGAAAACAGCAAGATTTAAAGAAAACAGTCCTTARYCAAATTTCCGGAATTCATTGCGATGAAAATGTAGTGCAAAATTTCTCAAAAGCTTGCGAATTCTACATAATTTTTTTCTGCAGATGTCGTGGAGATGGCGTTTTTGKGAAMAGAAAKTTGARGCCGTCTWAAAGCAAAARCCARGGAGRARCACTGTACATTTTTTAWCTTTGTGGGGTTTCGGCACTATAATCTTCTAGAGGCTATTGCTTAAGAACCAGATAAGATATCAGCTCGCGGTTTTTTGCAGCTTCTAGAAAAGCCCTAATTTTAGTCACTTCGGGAGCTTGGGTAATGCTCAACTAAAAGCTTCGTCGCAATAAGTTTCGGCACTATAATCTTCTAGAGGCTATTGCTTAAGAACCAGATAAGATATCAGCTCGCGGTTTTTTGCAGCTTCTAGAAAAGCCTTAATTTTAGTCACTTCGGGAG